TTTTATATCTATAGGAAGCATATTGAAAGTTTTGACAGCCATGTATAATGGAGCCCTCTTAAAAAATGCGGACGAATGTGCAGGCACACTCAGATTTTCTCTGCCTCTGGTCACAACGGTCATACTTTTAGCATAATAATGTGCGTTACTATTAAAAAGATACATATGCTTTTTAACAAATAAAACAAGTGCCAAAAAATATAGTGATGGAACCGTCAAGAATCCCAATCTTGAAAAATGTTCCCGACATGATGTTCGAGGATGAAGTCTCAAAATGCACCTCAGGATGCGCTTTTGCGCTATAAAAACTGACATGGCACCCCGCGAAGAGCCCCAGAACATTATACTATAAGTTAACAATGACTGTACAGATGAATAATAAAATTGCCGTAAAGTGTTCAAGGAAACCTCATTTCGCAGCCGCCGCACCAACGCACAGAAGCTGTGGAGCTTACCAACCAAAACAAATGTTTGACAATCCCAATTCAGACTCGAATCCAGGTAAATGCCCAGAAACTTTATATCGGTCATCTCTGGTATTGGTCCGCTATTGCAACGAACCAACAGCGACTCATCCCTGGCAGATGATTTACTGAACGTGAGAAGTCCAGTTTTATCAGCATTCAATCTTAATGCATAATCCTTGCACCAATCCTGCATGGTCCCCACTGCACAAGAACAGACCCCGGACAAGCCAGACATGTCCGACGCAGTCAGCACAACAGTAGTGTCGTCCGCATACTGGCAAATCAGACCTTCCATAAATCTGTCACGAAGACCATTCACATAGAGCAGGAACAACAACGGTCCCAGAATTGATCCCTGCGGCACACCCTGTTTAATCAAGGTAACTGATGAAAAATGCCTAACACCATTTTGGGTTATACAGACAAGCTGCTCCCTACTGTCAAGGTATGACTCTATAAGCTGTGCACATTTACCTCGTATTCCATGTTTAGACAGAATTTTAAGGAGTATTTGATGGTCTATGGTGTCGAAGGCCTTAGACAGATCAAAAAACAGACCGGCCACTTTTTCATTCTTATCCACATTTTCAACAATATAAGTAAGAACTTTAAATAGTGCTAGTTGTGTGGAATGATTTGGGCGAAAGCCAAATTGATTTCTTGTTAAAATGTTGTATTTCTTGATAAAGTTCATTATCCTTGAATATATGACTTTTTCGAAGACCTTTGACACAGAAGATAACAGTGAGACTAGTCGATAATTATCTATGTCATGCACATCTCCTTTTTTGTAAATGGGAACCAGTTTGGCCCTCTTTAAATGTGACGGAAAAATTCCTGTAAACAGACATTCATTAATAATATAAGCTAACGGTTCGCATATATAGTCAGATATCTGCTTTAGAACTACCACCGGGATTTCATCCAAACCAGCTGAAAATTTGTTTGGCAAACTCGCCAAAGTTAGTTTAATTTCCCTATTGTCAACAGGAAGCAAAAATAAAGTGGGAATCGCACTAGCTTCCGAAATATCAAGACTGCCATGGGATTGTGGAGAGATATCAAACCTTTCCTGAAAGGCATCAGCAGTTTTTTGGGGATCTTTTATTATTACACCATTATTAAGTTTTAGCTCAATGGAACGCTTAATTTTTGTATTAGTTTCTGCGTTTAAAATACTCCACGCAGTTTTTGTCATGTTTTTTGAGTTTAATATTTTACATTCATTTAGATCTATTTTGTAATTCGACAGAAATTTCCGGTATTCTTGTCGTACAATTTTATACTGATTATATACTCTAGGGCTATGTGTAATCTTAGACCAAACATACAAATCTTTTATATAATTAGAGTATGCTTTTATCTCCTCATTTACCCAGTTTTGTTCTTTGAATTTTAATCGATAGGTACATAATGGAAAAGAAATGTCAAAATAATGAAATAGTACGTTAAAGAAGGTTTGATATTTCTCCTCAACCCCAACTGAACCATATACATCATTCCAGGTCTCGGAGCTCAGCAGATCTTTGAAGCGCTGGATGTTGGAAGCCGCGAAAAAACGTTTCCTTGCATAATTGATGATAGGAACCTTGCTATTTAATGTAAAATTAAGGCTCTGACCATAATGGTCTGATATATTTATTTTTATAATGCTACATTGTGTATCAGGTATATTGCTAAACATATTATCAAGCTGAGTGCCCCGAGTGGGACCTATCCTCGTTATGCCTTTCACGTGGGACACTAGTCCATAACTGGCCATAAGCTGTGTCACAGAAAAAACTCCATCATAATGAACTAAGAAATCTACATTAAAATCCCCGCAAACCAGCAGATATTTATTTGGGGCATACACATAATTTAAAACTTCATCAAGCGTAGATAGAAATAAATCTAAATTCCCTGTAGGTGACCTATATATACAAATCACAATATAATGTTTATTATTTAATGTAAATTGTGAAATGCAATACTCACAGTGTTTTTCAATACACTCAGTGTTAGCCCTTAAGCTTTCAACGGTAAGGTCTGAGTTTACAAAAATTGCTGTGCCTCCGCCACGGAATTCTGTTCGTGATGAATGGCTGATGGGCAGATAATTGTCTAAAACTACAGAGTTTATATCATTTCGCTGCAGCCAATGCTCTGAGACACAAAAAATGTCTGGTTTCTTTTCTGCAAGCAGAACTTTTATTTCCAAAATTTTGTTATTTATACTTTGTACGTTCAGGTGCATAACAGATATACAATGACTCTCAGAGCCCTGGCTGCCAGAATCAGTTTCCCATGTGGAGGGTGTTTGGTGGTCGCAGTGTACATTAGTTACCCTGTATGACATCTGTCTAAAAAATTTCTACCCAACCCAAAGTTAAACCTTCCAAATGCAACACCCTTGGGCCAAAAAGCGGTATTATATATCTTGTCTTTAAGTTCAGGATTTACACCCACCATAAAGTTCTTTTTTCTACTCTTTTGAGACCTTGGTATACATTGTTTTGCCTGTATTTCATTGGCAGTAGTACTTGCGTGTTTTACAATATAATCGCTGATTGTATTTTCTGTGATGGTCTCATTAACTTTCGACAGGAAAAGCCAAATTTTTTTATCTTTATTATTCCCGGCAAGATTAAATTCTTCGTCATTACATTCACCATATTTCAGGGACTTTCTTTGTTTTTGATGGTTATATTTTTGTTTACGCGTTTGTTTTCTTTGGAACTCGAAACGACCTTCGAATTCTTCTTTTTGTTGTTCACTAGCGATGTCTTCTAGTTCCGGAGCAGTCGCCACTTCATCGTTGCAGACTTCAGACCGGATTTCTGTATTACTGACAGTTTGCCTAGAGGTCACGACCGTCGCCTCACTGCTGGCACTGCTGGCTTCACGTTGCTTAGCCGTAGTGTTTATGTTTACCTTTTTTACTTGGTTGGAGTACGATGATGCACCTGTTTTTTCGTTTTTTGTGTTGGTTAGCCTTTCTTCAAGGGATCTACATTTTTGCTTCCACAATCCAAGGTTTTCGACAAGTAAGGCGTTCTTGTCCTCAAGTTCCTTGATAATTTTTAATAAATACTTAGTTTCATTGTCGATGGAGTTCTGCGAATCTTCGTTTTCAGTGGCTTCGTGTTTGCAAGTTGCTTTCTTATAGGAAGCTGCTTGCACCATACATGCGGGATGGAAGACATCTTGGCATGGTTAATTTATGTAATAAAGCGTTACGAGTTATTTTAGCAACAAAGTTTGGTCAAATTAATCGCAAACTATTTACTAAATTCCTATTTAAAATAAGTACGAGATATTTCCTTATCTTTCTTCGAGAAATAACTTTTTTACCACAAAAAAACGCTCCAATAGCTATTTTTGAACAACAAAATGATTAACAAACCATGGGCGTAGTGAAGAAAAGCATTCACTTATTAGGTAAATTCTTTTAGTCAAATTTCTTCTGAAAGTAGTACAAACTAATCTGATGTACCTATTAAAGTCTACCTTACGCTTTAAATCAATAAATCTTCAAAACTACTGAACTGAAGCTCATGTATTTTGCATCATTATAAAGGGAATTGAAAGACCTTTAAAATAAGGTATCACTCGACTTTCCATTTAAGATGTTAGGGTTGGTGTCACCCCCGCTCAGGGGGCTGCACGTGTTAACGTGATTTTTTACCAAACTTGTGTCCCCATCGAAAACAAAATCGACGGGTCTGAGCGTTTTTCCAAAAAAAATGAGCTGCCAGTAAATGCATCTGTTTCGTTTTCGATGCGCCACCCTGTATATCACCACTTCACAATAATTTGGGATATCTGAAATATGATTCAAAGGCTGAATTGCAATACAGTACGAAGTTTTATAGGCTGACTAAATATAAAAATCTCTCATACCTTTATAACAATTTAACGCGGCTTTCTGGTGTTCATAATTTAAATACGAGAAACTCAAATTTATATGTTATTCCTACGCATTCTTCAAGCAAGTTTAAAAGTAGTTTTGGCTACATGGCTTCAACCATTTTGAACAAGGAGGTAGAACTATTTGAGGAAAATTCCATACTTTCCAAAATGCTACAGGCTCTATCTCTTCAACAAGCAAAAGGGTGTTTATTAATACGACGTAATTGTATCAGTTGCATGTTCTGTAATAGCAAATTTTATCTATTATTTGGCATAGGACCTTGTCTCTCTCTATTTAAACATTTTTTCTCTAGTTATTTACTTGTCCATAAATACAGTTTCAGTGTGGAATGTACTTTTATGAACCGGTTGTAATGTGTTCACTATGTTATTCAAACATACTTTACTGATGTCTATTATTAGTACGAGTATGGAAGGGTAGAAAAATGTTTTGAGTTATTCGTCAATAAACGTTTTTATTATTACTATTTACGCTATTTGTCGTTGCCCGAAACTTTCCGCAGGAATGCATCAATGTAGTGTTGATTATGATCCTGACACTTGATCAATTCTGCAATCGGAAATCCTGCGGCTGTGGTGCATCGTGACACATTGAGTGCATTGCATCATACTTTTACTAACCTGCCGTTTTTTGGACCAACGTTTGGAACATACGATGAACTGGCGGTGATGGCATCGTCTGGGATGTTCCCGTTTTCCATTCCCAGAGGCTCATTGCACGTCCCTGAAACAATAACAGAAACCGTTAATAAATCTTCATTTGACATGAAAATGAAATTTCCTGTGTCCACTTCTTGAAGACTTATTTTACATGAGGATAAAGTTATGCCAGGTAATGATTTGAAGATATTTCTAGATATTCTTTCGACATCAATACAAGCAACTTGCTGCGGTGCATAAGGTGTCTTTCGAGGAAAAAGTTCGATTGCTATCAACAATGTGGAACCTGGAATATTAATTCATGAAAGATCCTAATACAGCCAAGTATATTTCTTTGTTTCTGATAAAATCGTGTATATATTCTATTTAGGTTTTTGTTCTTCGCCTTTCTATATTATTAGGTACGTCTTTAACTGAAACTGAATTGCAATTAATTAATTCAATTAGCTTCTTCAAAATATCTACACGTTCCACCTTTAATTGATCCTTCACGTCTTTATCTTATAGTGAACAGCGATCTTCCCAGATCGGAATACATCAAGCACAGTATTTCATTTCTAAAAAAATCGTTTTTCCTGCTTTTCTTTACTATTACGTATGTCTTTAATTGAAACTAATTAATTTAATTTCTTGTCATCTTCAAAATATCTACACGTTCCAACTTTGATTCGCGTTTGTCATGCTTTTGATCTGGAATTAGTTCTCCATGCAGTTACTTATGCAAATTTTACATTCATTTTTATAGGTTTGGATGCAACACTTTAGATAAAAGTGTACACAATTTCTTTAGTCTTAGCATTAATATAATAGTAGTAGTAGTAGAAAGATTTATTTAGCACATTTGGCTACATAAACAGAACAATTGTAAACAATTTAGAACTAGTAAATTCAAGCCATATGGTGTATGATGTAAATGCTGGGCAACCTATAATTGTAGATTTAACAAGTGATTTCTCAATTTTACTTTAAATTTTGTCAAAGTTTTCTGGTCTTTTATCTCCGAGTATAATTTATTATATTCAATCAACCCTTGAAGGAATACAGATTTGTAGCATATGTTATACTTTTTGGTAATTAAATGGAAGTCATCTTTATTTCTGGTATTATGTAAATGATGGTCGACATTTGATGATGTTAAATTAGTTAGACTTGATGGAAATACATTATTTTTTACTTTATAAATGAATATCATTACAAGATATTTGATAAAATTTTTTACATTGAGCCATTTTAATTTGCTAAGCATTTGCCTAATTGGAGTATATTTATCTTTATTTAGTATTATTCTCATGCACTTATTTTGTAAAATTTTGTAACTTGCATCCTTTTAGACAAATAATTTCTAAACCAATCTAAAACACTTCCTGTTATACCATATGCCTTCAATTTACCTAACAAAATATCTCTATCAATCGTTTCAAATGCCCTCTTCAAATCCAAAAATACTGCTAAGACAACTTCCTCTGAGTCTATGGCTCTTCTCCAATTCTCAGTTACCAACTGGAAAGCTGTTTCTGTGGAATATTTTTTTCGAAAGCCTGCTTGCGCCTCCACTAAAATTTTGTTTTCTTCTATAAACTGCATTAATTGGTCATGCACTATGGACTCTAATAATTTTTCAATGCCTAGTAACACATTTACTGGTCTCATATCGCTGCATCTTTTAGAATTTTTTATTTTGGGAACTGGTGTTATTGTAGAGCATTTCAAATTTTCAGGGAAAGAACTGCTTCTCAGTGAACAATTGATCCATTTAATACAGGATATCCCAAAATTTCGAAACAGTTTTTCAGCACGTTTTTAGTAGTCATTTCGGTACAGTTGTTATTTGATTTCAAACTGTTTACTTTTTTTCTTAGATAATTCAATGATACGCTGTGAAATTTTGAAAGTGTATGCAACATTTCCCCCTGGAAACTGATTTTCATATAGTCAGGTGCAGCATTGGCAGTACCTACAATATCAACAATACTTTCCACAAAATATTCATTTAGTTTGTTTGCAATCACCAAAGAATTTGTTTCGGTACCGTTTTCGAATTGAACTTGATTTACACAATCATGCGGCTTCGAATTGATCAGTCTTTTTAAAGTCTTCCACATCTTTACACTATCGCACTTGTTATTATCGATTTGTTTATCGTAGAATTTTCTTTTTTCTTCTCTAATTACATATACACATTTATTCCTAAGAGTTTTATATACCTCCCAATCATCATTTGATTTTGTGAATATACATTTATTGTATTGTTTGTCTCTCAAATTTTGAGCTGCCTTAATATTCTTGTTATACCAGGGTGTATTTTTTGTCGAGCAAATCACTTTTTTATCAGTTGCAAGATCTAAACAAGTTTTTATATTTCCTATTATGTTGTCATATATTTTTTCCATATTCTCACCAAAATTCCAATAGCAGCCAGCCAGTTCTCGTTGAAGTTTTTCGTACTTAATAGTATTTACGATTTTCTTAATTTTTGAATCAGAAAAATGCCCTACCAAGGGCAGCATTGTCCAACTGTGATCGCTAACTTTAGGTGTATGTACAGCTTTAATCCCTGCACATTCGAAATTTACAATAACAAGATCTAACAAAGTCTCTGATAATGATGTTATTCTGGTACTCTCTTCAATTTTTTGCTTGAACCCATAGTTGTTTATGGTTTCTTTCAATTTTCTTGTTTTCATGCTTTTACCATAATAATTTAAATTAAAATCACCTAAAAGTACTATATTGTTTCTAAAATTCCACATTTCTTCGCATTTTTCTTCAAAAAACGTTAAAAATGTATCTGCATCACTGTTTGGTGAACGGTAAAAAGTACAAAGATCATAACGTTTCCCAAATAATTTGAACTGTGTATGTGCATACCAGTGTGCATAGTCTAAAGTGGTACAATCGAATAATGTGATCTGTATTTTGTGGTAAACATAAATCACTACACCTCCAGTATGTCTGGAGTTGGAGTTGCATCTGTAGGTTTTATAATTAGTAATTTGTAATTCACCATCAGTGATGTCTTCTGTAGCATGTGTTTCGGTAAGACATAATACAAGTGGTTATCTCCATCTTAAAAACTGTTGAACTTCATCTATATTATTCAGGACTCCTTGTATGTTTAAATGGTATATTGAGTTATATTCATCACTTACAGATTTAGCCACGTCTTGCAAATCTGAGCTTAGTAGTTGCTATTCATTTGCATAATTAATTTTTTCCCTCTCACGTTCAATTTTCCTTTTATATACTTCACAATTTTTGTCAAATGGTCCATGATTAATAGGTAATCCTAGATTAAAATCATGGTTTGCACTTTTACAATTTGGACAGCATTTGTACATTTCACTGGTACTACAGTTTTCTGTTGAATGTCCTTCTAATCCACAAGTAAGACATCTTCCTGATTTTGTGCAGTATTTAGCTGTGTGGTTAAATCCGGTACATTTATAGCATCGCAAAACATTGATGTACTTGAAAACAGAGCAAACAGACATGTCGATAAAAATAACACCCTGATTCATAACACACTTAAAAGTCACAGCATCCCCTTCTAAAATTGCTTGATATTTAGTTTTTATTTTCTTGACTGTAATTACTCTCATATGTGAATCTTCTTGAAAAGATTTATTTTGTGATTTTATAGTATTTATTAGCTCGTCTTCTGCATATTCTTGACAAAATCCAATAACTTTGATTTGTGGTTTTTTACTTTTCTCTGAAGTTTTCACTGTATATGTTTCTGGCATTTTTGATTTTATTTCATTATGTAGCTTCGCGTTATCATCTTTTGTTTTACATTGGATTTTCACCCCACCATCTTTCAATTCATAAACTTTTTCAATAGCAATTTTCAAACTGGTAGGATTCACAAATTTTGCGATGTCTTTCTTTGTGTTATTACACTCTTGTTGGTTATTAGGCTTAACAATGACTGTATTTGTGGGTTTTAATACTGGTGATTGTTTTTTTGCTGTACATGTTTGTAATGGTACGCATTGCTGCTTATATTCTACCATTTTTGTAGGCGAATTAACGGTTGAAGGCCCTGAAGCTTTAATCATATTAGCGTAAGTTGTAATTGCTTCTTGTGACGGCTGTTGCATTTTCCCAATTTTTTTGTTTAATTGGTCTATCTTTTCGTACAATTCTTTTATTAATTTCTCTTGAATCGAAATGGTATAATCTTTTAGTTTCAACACTTCCTCTGTACAAAATCCCTTTTCACTCAGTGAGACCACACTCTCCACTTCCTCACTAGCTCCATCCTTTTTAGAGTTTTCCTCCATATTCAAACTAAAAATTCAGGAATCTCATAAAAACCTTTTTTTAGCTTGACCTAATTTTTGACATTAGAAGTCAAAAAAGTATTTACAGAATTAATTTTGTGCAATCTCTTCCGTGTGGGATCTGCAGCTGCAAACAGGTGTGGCGATATATATTTCGTTAATCTTCCAGGTGATCCTTGGTTGATATTTTTATGTGTGGTCTTTACCAATATTTCGTGTCTGTGTTGGAGCGAATAAAAAGAGCAAGTGTAGTAGTTAATATAGCAAACTATAATGAGTGACAAAAAAGGTAAATCTACGTATATTTTTTAGAATTCACGTTCACCACACCGTGGGAGTTATGGTATAGGGTGTTATTGCTTATGGTAGCAGATCACCACTAATTTTCATCAGAGACAATATGACAACCCGACGCTAGATGCAGGAAGTAGTGGAGCCTCATCTCATTCCATACCTAAACACCATCCACAACCCGATTTTTCAGCAAGACAATGCCAGACCTTCATGGATGAACAGCATATCAACCGTTTACCTTGGCCACCAGGATCGCATGACCTATTTCCAATTGAACATGACCGGGACATGATAGGTCGCAGGCTCTTGAATATGCAGCACCCTCCACAGACTTTAACAGCTCTTACTCACGGAGTTGCAGTAGCCTGGAATGAGATACCTCTACAGGATGTCGACCACCTTATGAGTGTATAAGAAATCGTGGATCCTCAATACATTATTGAACCAGCTTCTGCAGTCAGTTGATGAATCAAGCTAAAAATTTAATCA